ATTCCACCAAAGAGAAGGTAGCCTTGAGGTTATGGTAGTCGAAGGAGGGCCTGGGTCGTTCCAGGGGTGGGCGGGTCACCAACAGCCCGCCACATACCAGGGGTTTGGACGGTCGAGATGGGAATGTGGCGACCGCGTGCTCGCCTGAACTGCCCACACGCGGACAAGACTAGCGTGCGGGACGCTGAAATGCCTTGGCCTCTATCGTTTTAGCTTGAGAAACTATCGTCTTAGCGAGCTGCTGACCTGGTCTGATGAATTCCATTCTCACTGAAGGCCCTAACTTGTGCACAATGGTGCTAGATCTGCCGTGTACAAACGGCTGGGTCCCTATTCCGCACCCACGAAGGCGACGCGTGGCTGGCTGGACCTTTTCCATCCTTTTTTGGACAAGCTCTCGAATGGCGATTCTTGATCGTGGTTGGTTCAAAGTCGATGATGATTTTTTCTTCTTGGAATTATCAAGACAGAGCCATACAGAGTCGGGGGCAGGCAGCGACAGAGTATCTTGGCTGTCTTCGCTGGTTCGAAAGCTGTCGGGATCCGCTACGCGACCATCTGAGGGTACCGAAAATCCTTGTAGCGCCGTACGGTAGGGGCAAGCAAGTGCACTTTGAAATTGACGCAGATGCGGAGCCGACCCTTCCCAGCAGATGAGAAGATTAGTGTAGTTCAGCCCCATAGAACAGTCGATTCATGTTTGTGGGAGGCGTTTTGGCCGTGGCGAACAGATACTCGCGTCTAGAATGTATCCGTGTGGTCGAGAAGAGGACGCAACTTGACACTGGACGGCAACCACGAGAATTTGGGTCGGGATTGACATTCGCACGCTACTGACTTCATCGAGGATTCACTTGAGCGCTCCCCGAATCCTGAAGTCCTGGCTACAAGGTTGACAGAGCAATTGAAAAATGACTTCGACCGTAGGTGCGCAAGATAACCTTGCTCTATTGGGGAGGTGCCGAGACTCCGACTTGTTGCTGGGATCAGACTGCATGTGAGACGTCGGCGATGGTGCCCAAAAAGCTGACCGAGCAGAAGCTCGCCTTGAAGACGTGCATACCGTTGCTAGTTCTGGTGCATCATTGAAATGAGGTGACCCTGAGTCGCAGCACGTGCAGGAACTCACGATGCGAAGGAACGGAGTGGTTGCCGGGCCTGGGAGAAGATGCAGGGTAACATTGCAAATAAGATTACACAGCTTGAACCGGACCGTTCAGGACAGCCCTACGGACCCCAAGGTCGTGGTGGGATTCTGGATGAATATGAAGGCCTCGGTCATGCACCCTCATCTGACGCATGACCGTTACATCTGTCAGGCACAGCATCTGCAAGAATGAGGCACAGAACGGATCAAAATGCCGGTCCATGTAGCTTAGGGGCACGGACAAAAACCGTCATCTCGGAGCAACGGCAGCCTCACGACAAACATGAATGACTGGTCTCTGCGATTGAGGGGAAATGAGACTGTTCAAATCTCGTACAATCTCTATCATGGTGACGGAACCTCGGCATACTTGCACTACGATGATGCATGACTTCCGCGCTGTCCATGAGTGGCCTCCGCGCTCCATCGAGAGAAAATGCCAGACCACATTTCCAGAAAATTCACGGCCTGCTTCAATTTCCCTTTTGTGGGATCCCCTAATAGTTCGCAGAGGTTTGAGTCACTGACTCACCATCCGCACCGAGGGATATCTAATATTAGCTCTCTCTCGTTTTCACTGAGAAACGTTAGCAATGGAATCATCTTTCCGCTCAGCATTAAAGGCACAACTGGCGCATCTTGTCTTTGCTGTGTGTGCCTTTATAATGAAGGACTGGTGGAGAACGCTTATCAGAGCTGTCACTTGTTCCAAGGCCTAATTCATTCCACATCCGTGCCTTGTTCATTCCTGACTGATGACTGACTAGAACATCACCATTGACATGATCGCAGGGCTACGTAGCACGAAGGCCCTCGAAGCGGCATGCTTCATCGATGAGGCTGAAAATGAGACTTGAAGGCTTGATCTGAGTTTGCGAGGTACATCACAGGCGTACGAGCTGAGGCTTCATTTTCTTGGACGCAAAATTGCTCTTCCTAGGTGCTTGTACATGACTAGACGATGGTAGGCTGAAGTAGTTGCTGAGGACATTGCTGTTGCACAGGGTGCCTGACGTCGACGTGGTGTTCAATTTTCGGGGATTTCGTGGTCTGATAGGAAACAACAGAGCCGAATGCGGTTCTGATATAGATGGAGTGTGGATCATCTGCAGCCCTGTAAATCTCAAGAACAACAATCACAAGGTTACGAAAGTGGGATCTCCGTGAAGCCTAGGGTGCGAATCACACGAGAGAATGGTCCAATAACCTGCGCATTTCTTGCAAGAAACGTAGCAGAACTGAAGTGCAGAATAGCGGTGGAATAACTATTCATAGAAAAGTCTTCAGGCCTCGACTAGATACGCCAATCGGGTAGCTGATTATCAATGGCTGTGCTGTACCAAGAGTTGCTGCACCGTAGCCTCGAAGTCCACACCGTAGAGCCAATCCAGATCAAAAGCCTCATGAGAGACTATATCGTCGCCTTTTGCTGGCAATCTTCTTTTGTTGATGCTTGCATTGAGTTCTAGAACTTGATCAACTCGTTCTTGACGCTTGAGCTGCCACTCATGCAGCACAGAGCGCAAGTTCCTGTCCGCGGTCTGGTTTACCCTGCCTACGATCTTGGCAAACACGTAGACGTCCTCAAACGCTTGGTTAACACCCTGTCCGGCGGTAGGGGGGATGGCATGGGCTGCATCTCCCAGGATAACAACACGGCCTTGGCTTGAAGCCCATGATTCGAGTTTTGGGATGATGTAGAAGGGCCACAGATTAATGGTCTCAACGCGTATGTTCGATACGGCTCGAGCGACGAATGGTGGGTAATCCTCACTTCCTTGTCGTAGAAATTCAATGCACCATGCCTTGTCGCTTGTGATGCGCTCCCAACCTTCACGGTCGGGCTCTTCTGTGAAATGACACTGTTTACCAATGAAGATCTCGGAGCCGTCCTTACGTTGAGGAGCGGCGACAAAAGCACCATGCTTTTTGTTCATGACAGTAACGGGCAGCGGATAGTCATCATCAACCCTGAAGCCCAACTGCGCTGTGGGAATGGTAGCTGAGACACCAATCATCTTGGTGAAAATTGGAATTGCGTTGGCATTGATGTGCGCCCGAACGCGAGAGTGAATGCCGTCTGCGCCGATGAGAAAACTTGCTTTCTCAGAAGACCCATCATCAAAGGCCCAAGTGACACTTTCGGAGTCTTCGCCTGTGACTTTGACAAACTTCTTGCCGTAGTGAGGTCTGATGCCGCCTTCTGAAAGCTTCTCAAGAAGGACCTTAATGAGTTCGAATCGATAAACTCGTACACCGTCAAATCCGTATTTCTCCTCAGAGCCAAATTCAAATGTGTCGAGAAGTTTATCGTCATCGGTACGAAAGTGGAGGTTTTGGAAGTGATAAGCCAAGGGTGCTAGCCGCTCGTAAACACCCAGACTATCAAGAATCCGAAGTGCGTTTGGTGAAAGCATGATCGCCCCACCAATGTCCAGTGGTGCAGTCCGAGACTCGTATATGGTGCACGGAATAAGTTGTTGGTGAAGAGCCAGACCAAGACAGAGCCCGGAAAGACCCGCTCCGATGATGGCAATGCTTGTTTGAGTGGCTGCCATGACGAATATTGATTTAGATCAAAAGACACCAGATGGAGTTGATGCTACTTTGCTCGACCGACTCAATGGACTGCAAGGGCCTAGGTAATGTCTTTGAAAGTTAAGTCCTAGCGGGAGTGTGTCATCTTAAGTATTGTTCGTCCATACCCACAGTCTGAAATGAAACCTCCCAAGCCATCAGGCTTTGTGAATTGTCCGGCAACTTGTTGTCCGACGTTCCACGTATTGTCCGTGCATCAATCACCGCGGGTGGCCGACTTCGGATATAAGCGGACATTTCATACGGACAATGTCGACGGACAATTGTGCGGACTTCTACATGAACTTTGGAAGGGCTCGACAACTCGATGTTGTAAGCCGAAGCTGACACAATCAGACACAGGCATAAATAGAGACTTATGGGCATTTCTTGTTGCAAATAAAAACATCATTACAATCATCATCAACTTTGTCTTCCGAGATTCGCACAACACCTTCGACTGACTCCCGCAATTCGTTTACATAGGCCAGCGAGACATCCATCAAACTTCGCGTCCTTGTGCTAATACACTGCGTACTCAACCTTGAGAATATCGCAAGCCAAGAATAATGAGGTTCCTCGTCATCGGAGGCAGTGGTCGTTCTGGACAGCTTGTGATCGACCAAGCACTTAACAAGGGTATGTGAAGCGTCCATGTCGCATTCCATGACCTCCAATTAACGTCTTTCCAAGGCCATCAAGTCATCGCACTCGTACGCAAGGACTCTGCTTTGTCCGAGCGCCAGGGCCTCACCATAATCACAGGCACGCCTCTCGACCAGTCATCAATTAGCAATGCCCTCAAGTCATCGCCCTCGGCTGTCGATGCTGTACTGGTGACCATGAACGCCCGCAGAGTTAGCGACAGTCCCTTTGCGGCCCCAGATCCCGTGAACTCTCCACCGCGACTCATGGCAGACAGCGTGCGGAATACTATATCTGCGATGCGGGAGGCTAGACCGCCGGTTCGAAAAATAGTCGTCATGTCAGCAGTGGGAACGGGTACCTCGATATCGAACGTCAATTTCTTCATGCGTTTGACATTTGCGTACACCAATATGCGCTATAGCCGCGAAGACCATGACGCGGTGGACCAGGAGCTTAGAGCGGCACATGACATCATCTTCGTGGAAGTGCGTCCCTGGTTGTTGACGGATATGGAGGCCGCAGAAGTCAAGGTATATGAAGATAACGGGAGCGGCGCCGGGTTCATGCCCAAAGTCTCTCGAGCTACTGTAGCTAGGTTCATGCTTGAAGCTGCCGAGACTTCCAAGTATGACGGACGGGCGCCAGTCATCACGAATTAATGGCTAGCTCGAGTGGTGAGGGTGATCATGTACCACACCGGTCTGAAAGATATGAACCCGCAAATCGCCAACCTATTTTACTTAAAATGTCATGAGTCCCAAATTATCATCCCCGTAAGGCGCTAGAGTAGGGCCTGCATAGTATGCCCAGTCCAAAGCGAGGTTTTGGACTATACCTTCCTCGGTCAGCTCGCCAGCCCAGATGTCTGGTGCAACAGGGGTTTCTTCGGTCGAAGCACGCGGTGGATCTGCGGTGTCACTAGCTGATCGACCCAAGCCTTCGACTACTACACCCAAGGCCTGCAGACACCTACGACTGGACTGAAGGGCTCCTTCGATGATGGCCTCTTCAGGTGTGTTGGACGAATCACACTGCGCAACGGCGTACTCTTTGCAGGCAGCGATGAAGCAAGCAGAATGAACGTCCGGCAAGCCAGTGCTGACTCGTTCCTCCGCCCATGACAGAGCAGAGTCAAGGTGTTGCGAAAGTTCGTCTTCGTCCAAAATTGGGAAACCTCCGAGTGTCTCTCGCTGTTCCTGCTTGAGTGTGACGAACTCGAAAACAATCGCAAAAACAGCTTGGATAGCAACGAATCGGAAAATGCCTGCACTTCGGATGAAAAGGCATCTAAGCTTTGATACGTCGTCTACGTTTGCTGACCAGGGTATAATGCCGATTGTTCTCGCCATTCTTACGGCAACAGTGATAGATACTCTGCGGGAAAGATGGTAGGCAGGGTCTCTAATGGACCTGCCAAGCACTGGTAGGTGGATTGCGAGCAGATACCGAGATAGCAAGGTCTCGGCGAGATGCTTCTGGAAAATGGTATCCGGTTCCGTCAAGCCTCTTAAACGCTGTCGCAACTGTACGTCAGCTCGGCTGAGCTCTGAATGAAATTGAAGCAGCTTATTGTAAGGAATATCCAAGCCAAAGGCGCCGAGTCTAGATGCGATGTCGAGCCTTAGAGAGAAAGACTCAAATAAGGACACCTGAACAAAGGATTGCGAAGGCCTGCCTGGTTGCCGTGGAAGGGCCGACTTGTCATCTATGTCGTCGTCGCTCAAGCTTTCTGGAGGTCGTGTATCGTAGTCTGTGACAGAAATCAGGGGTGGACGACCTGCCTGGAGAGAGAGTAGCAGATTCAATTCGAGGATTGTGGCCCAAAGGCGTCGATGCATTTCGGATTGGCGTTGTGAAACTCCAAGGTGCTGCGGGTCGCGATGAAGATTTAGAGACATGGCAGCCCTTATCAGACCTCCCGTGTCAATCCATGAAACATCTTCAGGACCAGAGCTATTAGCTTCAGCGAGGCAAAGAAGGCAATGAAGCTGTAGTTCTTCAAAGGTCAGGCGCTTCCTTTTGAAATTTGCCCGGCTGAGCCATGTATGTGCCTCGAATAGCCACCAGGACGTAACACTGTGACTTGGCGAAGTGTGTGAGTGCACCATAGCTCCGAGGGCTAGAACCACCTGGAGCTGAGTCACGAAGATCCCGCGCGCCGTAGAAGGACTCTGCCAGTACTTGTTGTATTCAGCCTCAAAGGCAGGCACATGGAGTATGCGAAATGCGCCCTCAAAAAGCAAAAAGTATTCCGTGACGAGCCTGTCTGCGGTAGCTTGTTCCGGCATCCTCGTGCCAAAGCTCAAGATTGGCCCAGCTGGATCCGCAGATAGGTGGTTACTGATCTGACGGCCGAGCACTTTACAGGATGATATTGCGTGATGCAGCTCGATATTATGAGTTTGGGCTTGGCTCAGGGTGCAAACAACCTCAGAGTGCTGCGAGTGATCAGCCGGTGCATCAGGAAATTACAGCGGCATGGCCAGCTCACCAGACAAGTATGGTTCATCCAGCTACTCTGGCTGCTGAATCGCGGCCCAGTTGGCGCCTCAGGCCTTGCTATAATGGCTACCTGGTCAGCGTTGCTCACTGCGATGGGTGTCACGGCCCCATGGCGCTCGTAAGTTAGACACATTGGTATAAAGCCCACCTGAACGCGAATATGATATGGCCGCAGTGGTAGAGGCTGAGCTCAGAGATAAAGACGGGTCTCTATGGTGGGGAGTCTTGCGTGATCGTGAGGACTTGGCTTGGTTGCGTTGACTTGCGAAAGCTGCCTGGGGTCCGGGGCGGCGCGACAGTGGCGAATGGGTTGGTGGGTACGTGCAATCGCTAATTTTCGATTTGGTGCAGTTGTTGCAAGGCATATTCTGATCGCACCTGATCTTGCGCCCGCCGACACTGTCGACAAGCCAGAGCAGGCCGTCGTCGGCGCTTCACTGTGGGTGTATCGTGCTTGTCCTGGACGGGTGTGTGCGAAGACATGACGAGTGTTTGACGAAGAGTTGAGACGCGGGTCAGGTCGAAATGGACGGGAGTAAGGCCATACAATGTGTTAGCGCCCATCCTTCTGTACGCTAACCGTCTCTGGATCTCACAGTGACCCAACGTCCACTCCGGCCTTGACTGCCAGCGGTCGGTGATTGAGCACCCTTGCCATTGGGGCTTTAGCTGGACCATGGGAAGCTTACCAATGTTGGCCGAACTAACTTCCATCGGATGGATTGTCAAACGAGCTTGCGCACCCAACCCGTAACGCAGCGACGCCAGTGATTGTAGGACATCGGCATCCCTGCTTATCCACTTGACGACCTTCAAACCTGCTGCCACTTCATCCATACTGACGATGAGTGACGTTTCACTAGATGCGTCGACGTATTCCCCCGTGTACCCTTGAACAGCTTTCTCTCGGGCACCTTGTTCGAATGCTGGGATCATAGTTTGGGCGATCAGTGCCAGAAGGCTACCAAGCGGAGATCCACTGTCGGGGTTCACCTGAGGCTAACAGAATGACAAAGCCGAGGCCGTGGTCAGGGGAGAGGACCATTATACAAGTATATGCCCCAATACCGCCATCTTTGGAGTATATCTCCACTCGTCTACTGGGCTTCTAACCGATCATGAGAGGAAAAAGCGTGGAGCGTATCTCCCAAGCAAGGCCAATAGACTGCTTAAGACCAGAGGTATGTGTCTGAGGTTTGGGCCAGGCGCGAGTCAAAGTAAATATCAAGAGAGTGGAATTGAGAGGAGACTGGCCGATTCGGAGGAGAGACCAGACGCGGAAGACGCCGCCACCGCTTCTTCATGTCAATTTGACGTCTAATTCGCTTGAATGTTTGACTCACGGAGCTTCAGGTCCCAGCTCAACGTCGATCCAAGACCTGGTGGTGGCCCCAGGAACGACAGCATTGTCGGGACTGGGTAAAGGAGCGTCAGTAAGTGTCCGCGTAAGTCCGAGAGGTTCCAGAATTGCGGAGTATGTTCTCGGACCACTTCTGCACAGTTATGCCCTCTATTGCATAGCTCCAGAGTATCATACGCAAGATTCGAATATAGAGGTGTCTTGTATGGCGCTACCATAGCTTCAAGAAAGTCTAATGAGTATCAGCATTGGCGTCCCAATCTCCACGGGTCTGATGTACGAACCTTGGTGTGAACAGACTGGTGGCATGTCTGGAAAAACTCCACATTAGGGCTTATTTCATCCATAAGAACGGGAAGGTTAAGTGCCAAGATCATGACATTATTCATGCCCTGGGCCTCGATAGCCTGGACAAGATCACCAATGTTGCCTAACCCTCACGCTTTCAGTTACAACGGCGCTTATGTTTCTGGGTAGAAAACTCACAACCATGGGGAAGCCTTGCTAAATGAACAACTAGGGACCCTAAAGTGATGTTCTCCCATCGCTACGAGCAGGCTCTATTGTTGGCCCAGAAAATGGCTAGGGAAAATCAATTCCAAACATCCATGTGCATTACGAAAGTCCCAACTTCTTTCGATCGCTCAATTCAGCAATCACGTCTGTGGAGGAATGTTCAGCACTTGTTGCCAGTCGAATATAGCAGGAGGTACTCGACATATCTCCGGCTGTCACTATCTTTATTCGGTGGTGAAGCCAGATTTACGGCTTCCGCCACTGATGGTCATGCTACAAGGATGCAATCCATTTGCTTACGGTTGATTCGATCGAGACATTTTAGCTTGCATAATGAGGGAGATCTTATACTGCCAGAGGAATCGTGAAGCTCAGATAGCAATGAAATCCAGATTTGCAGGCTTAAAATTTGTCCGTTGAAACCTCGGAGGAAACTTAAGTGCCTTAACATGTTGTGCGATGTGATGGATTTGCACGTCTCATGGTTCAAAGGTTCGGCATGAGAAGCTCTTTGTCTGACACGTACGAAGCCTCAACAAAACATTACTATTCTGAGGTGAAGCAGGTGGTGCAGCAAGTGGCACTTTGGGTGCTGGAATCCTTTGTCGCAGATGGAGGCCAGATTTCGACATCAAAGCTTAAACTTCTTAGACCTCCGCCATTTGCATCGAGACCATCATCTCACGCCGTTAAAGAAAGTATAATCTAATCTCACCTGCCTGGTAGGTGCGTCTGCAAAACAAGCGAGCTCACCCTCCTTGGTCGTGCACAAATGGCACATAAATCCCTGACTACCTGCTAATATTAGTGTTGGAAGGCTCGATTCAGTGCATGAGACTCATGGCAGTGAGCTGTGACTTTGGCCCCCTTGGTGTGGCGGAAGAATGCACAGTGAGTGTGG